AAAGTAGTTAGATTTTTTTATGAAAGAGTGATTTTTTTAAATTGGACTATAGGGCTATAGGCTGAGTAACCAATCTTTCACATTCAAATAAACACACAAATTTTAAAACATTTGAAAAAATTGTATTAATTTTTTTAAAATTAGAAAAATTGATGTAAACTGTACTATAAAACGTGTGAAGTATTAAAATATGAAAACCTAAAATTGCAGACAGAATATGTAAAATAAGTAAACATGTTTTGAATCTATTATAATATGAAAAGCATTTAAAGCTTTTTATAGAAAGAGTAAATTTTTAAAAAGCCGGAATATATTAAAACTAAAAATCTAAGAAACTTTAATAAATATATAAATTTGAAAATTTTGAAAAATGTAATATACAATCAGATAAAATCAAAACCAAAAATAAATTCTTAAAATATAAAACAGTAAATAAAAAACATGTAAAAATAAGAAACTCATAAATAAAAACGTGAAAAATGAAAACAAAATGAAAAAAACATACTTGAAAAAATTGAAAAATGTATAAAAAATGTGACTTTTGTAACTCAATACTTTTAAAATGGTCGCAAAATCTAATAATTGTTATTATCATTTCGATGTTAGTTTTTGTTTCCTATTGTTTGTTTGTGTTTATTTTTGTTTATATCTTTGAAATTTTTGTTTTTTATTGTTTCCTCAGGTTTCTTGTTATAGTTGGCATTCATAAATCCAAATTGATTATTTTAGCTGATTGTATGCAAATCTATATATTACTTTTTATTGCAAAGAAGCATCAGAGGTGAGTGGAAATATAAATAAATATTAAATATTAAAATGAACTATAAATAACACTAAGCAACATGTTGCAACAAAAAGTAACGCATTGCAACAAAAAGCAACATTTTGCAACAAAAAGCAACACATACCATACAACAAAATGAAACAAAAAACAACATATAAATGTACCAAAATAGATATATAATTTTATCTATTGTTTCAATTCAGTACATTTACAATATTATTTGACTTTGCTTCTTATCGTTGCTTCTTCTTTTTACAGTATTATACTATTTGACATTGTTTCTTCACATTCTTCTTCCATATATGCATTTTAACACACAATCCATCAGGTTTGTCTCCTTGTGTTTCTTTGCTCGTTGATCTTCTCGGTTTTATTATCATCTCCATGCCATGTCTTCTGTCATACACCTACAATTAGAATGCGCTGCCATGAAAATATGATCATGGGACTCATGAGCTTATAAGAAAAAGTAGCAAGTACATTTCAAAACCAAGACATGGTAGGATAGTTTTTTAGAGAAATGCATATCAAACCTTCCGGTAATAGATTTTGTTGCAGCAGCACCCCCCCCCCCCCCCGATGCCAACCTTACCAGTCACCAGGTGTTCAATCCTAGTTCCACACCTAATAAAACATAGATGCATTTTGAAGACAATTGAAAATCACATCCTTAGCAACACGGCCATATTTAAATGCAATGTACTTTCTGAATGCTGCAGTTAGCTTTCCAGTTCCTGTCTTCCTCTTCCTCCCTTATAGTTCCTCTCTTCCTCCCTTATGATGAAAAGAAATCATCATCTTTGAGCACTCCAACCGTTTACCATGAATATATATATCCAATATACTTCTCAAAAGTTATGTCCCAGCAACCAATCAGACTGCTTTGAACTATAAAGATCACCCCAGCCGCTAACAGAGAGGGCAAGAACCTCAAAATCTCATACTCAACAAGAGACATGCTAGCAAAAGGCATAAAAAATCAAACACGCATAAACAGAAGATCACAAAACAATGCCCCTAATAAACTGGTGATCATTATTACTTACTAATCAGTATACTTGAGATTTAGCAACAATGATTCATTAATTAGTGTTGCTTGAGTATTCTTGTGTTCATTCAAAGTATGTTTGTATAGAAGATTAGTATATAATGGTAGTGACTTTTCATCAGGGTGACATAGTGTCCTTAGACCCACTCCCTACGTGGACTACCACTCAAACAATGAATACTCAACATTTGCATCATCTATTGAAGTATTGCTCAGCTTCATCTCTAGGGGAAACACTACACTAGTGTACCGTTGTTTATAAAAAGATTTTAGACATCAAAGCATATTTGTAAAAATATAAATAGCACATCAAGATATAAAATAAACCAAATCAAAATCAAGGAGAGCACATGAGCCAAAAGTAGAAAACATTAGTTAGAAGGAGAATTTAAACCACAACTAAAGCTTATTTAGAAAACAATACACTACACTCAATTCAATATCATAACAAAAAGTAAAATGTAATAATTGAGAGGCATTAGTAACAGTACGTATAACAATTTTACAAATCAATACAACTAAGCAATTTGAGGCTTTTGGATTAAGCAATTCATAACTCAGATAACAAAAATAATTCAAAACAAGCATCTTCAGGCTTCGGAATTACAAATTTACAAATTCACTTATTCACATATAAATTTGAAATTACCTTCGAATAATAGGTTAGAAGCTCAAAAGTTTAGAAATCCAGAGAATTCGTTCGTCTGCTAGGAGCAGTTTGGCGATCTGGCGAGGCATGCAATCAAGCTATGAGGACATAAAAGTGACCGGCGAGTTAGTGTCGAAAGTCACAGTGACTGGCGATTGTGGCCAGGTAGCATCGATGCTTCAGAGTCACAAAGGAGCCAGAAAACAAATGATTAGACACTATAGGCTGGAGCTGGGGGATTGGGGAAAAGAGAAGAGAGTGGAGGTCGAAGCATGAGAGGAAGAACCATGGCAGATGAGACGGGGGAGAAGAGAGTCGAAAGAGAAGAGACGGGGAATATCGATATGTTTTTGAAATAAAAAAAAAGTTTTTGAAAAGTTGAAAGTTGAGATATAAAAAGAAAATTACGAGTGGACATTAATGAAATCCAAGTAACAAGAGTGGCTGATTCCAGATATTTCCACTATAAAATTCACAGAGACCAGACATTTATCAAATTAGATCAGACCAGTTATGACCAAATCAGACCAGACTTAAACAAACAAGACCAAACCAGATCAGCAAATTTCAGTCAAAAGTAAAAATATTAGCTGGGAATAGGGGTAGACTGGGACGGGTTGGCCGACAGAGACCTGGCCCAACCCGATACTGTGCAGGCCCGACCCGGCTTGGTTGACCGGAATCGGGACCAAGCCCGGGGCCCGAGCCAGATGAAGAAGCAGCATTACCCAGCTTTATTTTTAGTGGACCGGCCCGACCCGGTACAAACCCAGGCCGGTACCGCGCCTGATAATTTTGGACCCGGAGCCCACCCAATCCCGACCCGGAGTCCGGCGCGGACCCAGTTCAGTCCACCCTAGCTGGGAATGGCCGAATGGGATACACTAGCTCACAAGATTATAAGATCCATATAAGTATCTAATATCCAGTTATTTAATATACTACGTAATAAGATTACAAGCAAACCGTTTGGCTGGTTCAAGGTTTGCCCTTATTCAATGTAATATTGTCATTTTCATCCCTGACCACTATTGTATTCATCACACTATTAATAAATAATACTCATATTTTTTTTGTCTTTTGACCATATATTAAATAATTCGGACTTTTTCAATAGTAGATAGCAAACTCGGACCGGCCTTTTTAAAGTTTTTTGTTCATTAGTGTGGTCGGATCCGGCCTGGCCTGCAACAAATGGGTCTCAACACATGTCCATATATCGAAGTTTCGAAAAGGTAACAAATCTGTATTTAACATATCCAAAGTTTCAGTACAATAAGACTATAAGAGTATGAGATAGTCTTTTATATATCATACGAAACCACTTAATAATTGCTCATATTTAGGGAATAATATTTATCAAATAAAAACATAATTCTCTTATTTGAAATTTCATATTCTATTTCCTCTCATTTCAGAATTCAGATTAATTCTTAAATTTATACTCTTATAATTACAATGTGTGTATTAAAGGATAATTACAATATGCTATAAAAGAAATTGCTCATGGGTGTTTCTATTATAATATAATACTCCCTCTATCTCTTAAAACTTGGCCGAGTTTGATCAACATGGGGATTTATAAAGTAAGTGTACTTGAAGTTTATACAGAGGAGAGATAATTAACAAAAAACGGAAATTCTTTAATAAAAAGGGAAAGTGCCAAAATTAGTAGAACAGCCAAAAATTGAAAGTTAGCAAAGTATCAAGGGACAATTATGATCATAGTTTTTTGCTTTTAACACCTCATGCTCTTCTATTTTTTATATTGTTTCTACTTTTCTTACTTTGTTCTAATTAGTGTTGAAGTACTTTTAAAGTAGTTTCCACACCAGTAAAAATTATTAAATTATTATATAAGATTTTGAATTACTCTTCGTATAAAGTTAACTTTTTAATATGGAACCACATGTCATAACAGTGTGTCAATAAACTCAAATACTCAATTTATAGTCATGATGAGGGGTCCTATACTCCTATGAAAAACAAAAAAGAAACAATGTGACAGTCATAATGAATTAATGAAAAAAAATAAATGAATATATTGATGCAAAATGATTAATCATGAGGTCTAGGACCACTCTACCATTTAAGGCATAACAGTATAACACCGAATGAACTAGTATATTTCATATTGTTTTTTATGGTTTAATTAATAACTATATCTTTTTTTTCTTGTGCTATTTGTTGTGTCATTATCTAGGTAGCTTTTCTTTTGTATTGCTCCCTCCGTCCCATAAAATTGTTCCCGCATTGACTTGGATCGGAGTTTAAAAAAGTAGGAATAAAGTGAAAATGTATGATTGTGATTGTGTAAGAAAAAAGTAAATGAATGTGAGCCACACAAAACTTTCCAAAAGGGGAAACGAGAACTATTTTTTGGGACGACCCAAAAAGGAAAACGGGAAATATTTTGCGGGACGGAGGAAGTATGATTTATGAGGTGAGTTCAAACTTTTTACGCCCATCTGAATGTTTTAAGATAAGTTTTTATTAAAAAAAAAAAAACTAGTAAACGCCTGAAAAATGAACCAGAACAAACCAAACAGCACAGATGCAGTTCTATGTACTAAACTGCAAAGACCAAACGTAACAAAATATACTAGAATTTTGTTCGGCATTCGGTCAAAGGTGAAACGTTTTTACCGAACCCACCTCTTGATATCATTAGAATTGTAAGAATGCAGATGCATGAATGATAAACTTTTCCAATTAAATATTAGATGGCATGAAGAAATTGGGAGATTACAAATCATAACCTAATGAAGACATATTTCAAGGAACAATCCTAACTCCTAAGCAACTAGATCATCTTCAAGGTGATTGTACTCGAATGTGAAGTCATTCTTGATCCTCTGACACCTGTTTCAGATATATAAACAAACATTGATAAAGGATAATAGATAATTTTTTATCACGAAGAAGCCACCAAGCAACAAAAATTCATGAAAAAATAAGAATACCAGCCATGCTCATCATTGGCGATATGGAAATCAAAATAAACATATGTCCCTTGTTCATAATCATCTGTGGCAATATTAGGCTCCTCGTGCCGCTGAAACCATGTGTTGTACTTTCTGTGGTATCTCCAAGATTGCTTTTTCAGCTCCTTTGCTGCCAAGTATTGTTGATATGTGTTCTACAAATATTGTGCAAGAATAACATAATGATTATTTTGGACCATTTTGGCCTGTACTTTTAAAGATAATGGGGGCAACGCACCTGTTGGTAGTAGAATGCAAAGAATAAAGTGTCAGTCCCATAGTTATCAGCCCCTAGTCGTTCCCAAAATGAGGAATTATTAACAATCGGCGCTTGCACTTGAGGGTAGCTTGAAGGGGTCACCGCACGATGCCTCTGTCAAAATGCCAAATGCATGTATAACTTGAAATGACACAAATTGTTCAAATGCAATAGTAAATCTTCTGTGAGACAAAACCCAAAAAAATTATAAAAAATAATTGATCAGGTACCACTTTTCAAGGTACAACGTTAAATTTATGAAATCCTACTAAACTTTTTGTATGTTTAACTAAACTTTTCATATTTAAATTGTTTATATGAATACTGTTTTGGCAAATTAGATAAAAATGTGGTTTCATTTATTGAAAAATGACTCTAAATTGGGTGCAAAAGAATATTTAGAAATGTGAACATAGTTTATTACGCTTACTACAAAGGTAAAAGTAAATACTGTTATATAAACTGTTGTTTTTCCTTTTTTTCAAAAAGGTAAATCTTTTTCCTTTAAAGTATTGTAACACTTTGGTCACATCTCACAGCAAGATCACCTCATAGGTGACCAATTTAATCTCTGTAAGTAATATGCTTAGCTTTGCCTACAGGTGTATAGCTTTTAGCACGCTCAGAATCTTTTGGCTGAGGAAGTTTGTAATAAGCAGACTCGAGCATTTGTAAGTTGTATAACAGGTCATGCACTCCTCCAGGATTCGCGGGTGGTGAGGTCAAGTTGTCACCAATTGCACCAAGATCAGCTGCACTTCTTCGACCGATAACTCCAAGGCTACCACCCGAGGGTTGATTTGATTGTAATGGCTGCCCAGGAGATAAATCAACAATATCCCTTGGAAGCTGCTGAGGTTGCTCTGCAAGAGAACTGCCCACTCCACCCTGCAACAGAGGAGTGTGTTACACATAAGTATGTCAATAAATTAATAATTATGGTGCGCCTCTAAAACAAAGGCATGCGTTTTCAAAAAGAACCCTCACTATCCATTACTCCCTCTCTAAAAAAGAGCCCTGTTTCAACAACTTTTTGTGTCCCGGGTGGTTTTTAGAAGTAACTTCCATTTCAAGTAAAAAAATTCTAAAGCCAAGCGAGAAGTGGTTTAGTCATATTTCAAAAAATATTGGAAATAAGTTGTAGGGATATAAGTAAGAGACCATTCATAACTTTTAAAACTTGTACCTTTGAAATGACTAAAATTAAAAGGTTGTATAATACTCAAACAGGACGTTTTTAGGACTGAGGGAGTACTGGCAGTTTTAGCAATTTATGTGCAAAGCAACATAGAGCATTTTCTGAAAGACTGTTTTACTTTCCAAATTAAATAAATCAATCCAGGAAAATGTGTTTTTCTTACAATGATGGAAGACGGGAGAATTAAACTCTACAAATCACTAAGTCATCTATTTTGCAACTTTTCAAAGTAATCTGGTCTCTCATGACTTTATGTGGTACAAATGGATATATAATACAAAAAAACCTACATTTACGGGCGTATCAAATGCATAAGCCTTAAAATCATCCTCATTTATGAGATTCTTTACAAGGCTCGGGGAAGGTGCAGGAGAAGGAGCAGAATCTGTCAAAACATCTTCACACAGGACCTGTTGTTGCAACTCTTCAACCTTTGAGTGCCTCCCAACATCTGCAACATTATATGAAAACTTTTAGCAGCTATGTATGAAAGCTTTGAGTGCCTCTTCAACCTTGGCTGTTTCATAAAAAAAATTAAATCATGAATTTTTCAAGAGTAAATTAGTCACAGGGAGAAAAATCTATTATTACTATTAAACAAAATCAAGGTCTTTATATCGCTTTCCTACTTAATATCGATAATTCATGCCTTAAGAGTTAGATGGTCAATGGGTCACACCTGATTGCTGCTGCGATAGTCCCGATGAAGTAACATTATTAAGGGATGCAGCAGGGGCTCCTGTTCCCAATCCAAGTTGAGGAGTCACAGAGGAGACTTGAGAATAGAACTGAAACGAAATGAAAGAGAGTATATAACATTTGAGGTTAAGAGAGCATGGGGTAAGACCCCCCAAATCCCAATAAAACATTGATCTAAACATCTGAGAAAATAATGAAGAGCATTATGTCATTATGTGTGTTGATATAACATCAACTTTTCTTTAATGACGTTTCTGGTACATCCATGTCTCATTCATAGAATCACATTACAAGAGACTTGCAGCAGACAGCAGTACAAAATATTTAAAAATAAACAAGTTGAGAGTATTAAAGTATGTATGAAAATAGTGATAGTTTATCAATAGCACAATTGATCCATAATAAACTCTATTATAAGGCCATTAGATCATATGAACTTCTAAAGGGTGGTTCAGAATGTCACACACACAAACATATATATAATGATCTTGATACATTTTGGACAGCTGCAGGGGAGCCGTGATCCAAGATGGTATGGGTGATAAAGTTTTATTCTTAAATAGTTATTCCGTCCAATAGTCATTTTTGCTAATATTATATTTACTTATGAGTTTGAACTTAGTTTTTCCTTTTTTTTTTTGGACAAAACAGATCTATATAAATGAAGCAACACCAAACTATGCAAGTACATTAGAAAAGCACTTCGTATGATCAGACATAACACCTACACCGCTACATCCCTAGAAAGGGCAATATGATTTGTATATTAGATCATGTAGCAGATATGAAGTTAACATTAGCACGCCACCATCACCATCATTACCCCAGTGCCGCAAAGGCTCCCACCTATGGTGGGGTAAGGGGGTCGGATGTATGCAGTCTTACCCTTGTACTAAAGGACAAAGAGACTGTTTCCGGATGACCCATAGTGAAAATCACGTCGAAATTTGCATGGACTGACTGCTGCTTCATAACAAAGAAACGCAGATAGTTTAGTGAGCCATTTTGCTTTATTCCATTATATTCCCAAGCCAAAAAAATAGTGAGTCTTTAGCAGAGTAACATATATACAAAAATCACTGTAAAACAAGACTACAAAAGTGACACTCAAATTCAGAAATCTACTCCTGAATCCTGAGAATGCCATGGGCTTATTTATATGCAAATGTGACGCCCTAATCGGCTTCTGTCATTACTCCTCTACCAATGCAATCTGTAAACTCGTCACCACCTTCAGCCTCATCCTCGCCACTGCCTCCAGTGATGTTACAGTCACCGCCCCTGAGGGTTCTACCGCCACCAAGATCATTGCCGCTGACTCCTTCCGTTGAAATAGCAGTAACAATACCTTGCTGGATCCTGAGTCCTTCGGGAGGATTCTATAGAGAGTTGACGGCAATAAGTAAAGATCTAAGAGTCAAGGATTAGCTGCTTGTTTTTATCTTTCAGCAGCTTTGAGAAGCTCATTGTGACACGTTATCATATCCGACTTAATAATACATCAGGATGCTCATGCAATGGCCTACAATACTATGCAGTATTAGGAAAAAATAGTAAAGAGGTAACGGCTGTCAGCGTAGTTGCTGGAGGGAAACCTGCTGATCAGCCTGATGCCCTGATCTTAATTCTGAAATTGTTTGAAGGGTTCATGATATTAAAGAAGGCAGTCTAAAGGACCTATAGACTGATCTTAACACTTCACTAGTCAACTTAAAATGGATCAAGTAGACTGTAGACCGAAAGGTGGTGAAACACAGTAATGGGTAATGAGTCTAATGACTCCTGTTTATGGCGCATGTGAGCAGATCCAAGAAAGGTTAAAGGAAAGGGGCCTTATTAAAGATGATACGATTCTTTTCAGGGTCGTTATAAGCTTGCCTTACCAGTATCTGCAAATGAGTATCTCCGTAGTCCAACAAATCAAGAGTGCCATCACATGTGGATTATTTGTTTCTAATGGCGCCATTTGATCGTGATAAGGTTTCCATTATGGGTGACTTCCTTCAAGGTTGATGACAAGCTTGACGTCTACAAAGGAAGTAATAATGTGAGCGACGTGTCTCCTGTTAGGGCCACATGAATGCCGAAAAGGACCGAATAAGTCTGATTATTATTAGGAGAATAGGAGTCATATGATTATTACTGCTATTAGTATTACTATTAATACCTAAATACCATTAGTGTTATTATTAGTCGATTCTGGTGGGTGTTGATATTGTTACTTCCTATTGAGTCTCAGTCAGCTTCTTATTTACCTTAAGCTTTATGTTCCTATATGATTAAGATTCTTGTAATAGCTATATGCGGTTCTTCATTATAGATTAATAAATAACTTCGAAGAATTAATATGTCTGTGTCTTGAGTAGGTTGGGCACCTATTTCTCCCATATGCTTATTCTGAAACACTCTCTCTCTCTCTAATGCAACAGATATGGAAATCCTGATGGATGCATCCATAACTCTTGTTCTACCTCTCTCTCATTCTAGACCTTGGACGAGATCCATACCACACTCATAAGTCATAACAACAGCATATTCATCATTGGATAGGTCACAATAACCGTATCCTTTAATTATTTACAACTTGCAACACCAAAAAAAATATAAAGTAAAAGTGAAATCAAACATAGATTTGAATGTTGATGAAAAATCATATCTTCAAGGACTCTAAAAGCAATACCTGAGGGAGAAGCGGATTCTGATGCTGTGCATAGAACAGTTTGTGGTTTCCAAGAATATTACTCTGACCCTGTTGTTGCACTTGCTGAAACCGTTGTAAAAATTTCTCCCTCTGGTCAGGAGCAATTTCAGTTCTCCCACGAAACTGTCCCTAAAAAGTAAAAACAGAAGTAAAGCTATAATGTAATCCTAAACTATATATTAACAAGGTTAAGTAACAAGTTAAGCGAAATATCTAAAGGTTGAGAGTAGTTCTACTTCAACAAGGTTAGACTGAGAGCTTCCTACACTATGACAAAGGACAAAATATCTAGACTTAAGATTGGCCATATGGCTGCATAAAAAAGAAGAAACAACATACTTCAAGAGCACAAAATAATCATTTAAATATTTATGTCCATTAATGCCGTATCTCAAGGGTGTAAGGTGAGTAGTGGACAATAACAAAAGCTCGGATAACAGATCAAAATGAAATGAACCCCACATACCACTTCACTCTGATTCTGAAAGGAATTCCCAGGCCTCCACTGCATTCCAGGCACAACAGAAGGAGAGAAAACCCTACCACCCGCAACATTGGACTCACCACCAGGACCACTTTCACTAGTGCCCATTCCCTCACTAGACTTAGCAGCTTGTGGCATGCTCGATTGATTGACCAAAGGGGACACAAGAGGCTGCCCCGTGCCAGTACTCCCAAGTCTTTCATCATATCCCAAAACATGTCTCTTTGTCACTTCTGAAACAGGAGTAGCACCTATAGCTCCATCGTTAGATAGTGAATTAATAGAACCAAGTGAAATGCTGGTTGCAGGTTGACTAGAGAGGCCATTTCTATCAATGTCCCTTAATCCAGCTTCAGTGTGTGTTGGAGATGCTTTCCGGCCAGGGAACCCAGTAATCTCCTCAACTTTTATAGCACTTGGCACATTCATAGGAGATGAAGCAACAGCAGTAACTGCATGATCCAATAGACCATAACAAGAACCAAGACACAAAAACACAGCCAAATCAGTTGACATTTTTAAGTTAAGGGAAGAGGTCAGCACCAGGGACTGCACGGGGCGCAACAGGTGTTGCTGGAACTAAAGAAGAAACTGCACCACTTTTAAGATGTGAGACTCTAGCAACTGCATCAGAGGTACTCTCTTGGTAACCTATTTCATCTGCTTGCTCTTGGGACGGACCACTTTGCAGAGCAGGAGGTGCTATTGTTACCTGGAAAGAGGAATCAATCAAATAAGGTCAAATAATAATTAAGTAAAACCATACAACTGATTGAAGATGCAGTGGTATATAAATCAAATCAAGCATCAAAGTGAACGACTTCTAGAGCAGGAAGAGTTTATGCTTCTAGCTAAAAAATATTAATAAAACATCACTGCATATGTCGCTGAGTGCACTCAAAACAACATGTGCATCAAGTGGGAATTGAATGTTTTTAAGATTGTCTTCAAGTGTAATATTAACATCTAAACCAAGCAAGCAAAACCAGCCGGTATATCGTGCTTGTAAGCAGGGTCTGGGGAGGGTGAGATGTACATAGATCTTATTCTTGCCCCAAGGGGTAGAGAGGAGGCCATCAGCAAGTAGTGAAATGTAGTGTGGGCAGCGTGAAAAGTAAGCTAGAAAAGAACACACAGTAAGCAAGTAAAGCAAATAAGCAAATAATCATGCAAACAGCATACCAGTAAGTGTATTTGTCAAACAACGTGAAATGACAAGCACAGCCAACTTAACCGACACCGTACCCCCAATAAGGAAACTAAAGCGTAAGAAAATGCATTTCTATTATTGTATACACCATTCAATGATCATCATGATGAGGAAATCTAAAACATACTGATGGAAGAGAAGGTGTTGCGGCAATAGAAACTTTTGTTGTGCTTACTACAGCACTCACACCCTGCAAAACAAAATGGAAATAACTCAAGCAAAAAATACTCTACTGTATGCATGTGTGAACACTAGATATTCATGATAAGATTGCGATCAGATATTGAGAACAGGGAATAGGAAACTACACAAGAAAGTGCAGTGAATACAGTGAAACATATACAAACTATGTGTATACAAGCTTTTTACAGGTGCTGGCTTGAAAAAAATCAGCATTCTGCCCAACAACTTGGCGTATCATAGTCCTAAATCCTCAAAACAAAAGAACAAGTTAAACCCATAGTGCATTGAGGAAAAATGTTTTTTTTTGTTAGTTTTGAAGTATAGCATAGATGCATAGAGGTTAAGCCATTTGGTTTAGACCCATTAGATTTATATACTCGTATAAACTTTGTATTAGTCTTTAGAAGTTGTCAAGTTGAAACTTTAGTAGTGTCGTTGAACATGATATCAATACATCATAGACTATTTTCATCCCTATTTTGTCTTCCGTCATGAACAGTAGTCCACAGTGGCTTCCCAACTCAGTTGGTACCTATGTAGCACGGAAACTCTCAGGAAAGAGTACGTTTTCGTTTCGGAAACTCTTTGGAAACTCTCCAAACAAGCATTTTTTTAGCAAAAGGTAACGTTTCCTGTTTCCCGTTTCCTCATGATTTTCGCGTTTCCGTGCAACATAGCCAACATATTTTGTCTTTGTTTGAGAAAACCAACCACACCTGTTATTAGTTCAAGTTAAACGGAGTTCACAATCACTTCCAGCTTTTGTTATTTAGAAACATGTTTGTGTCAAGCTTGAAGCATATGATCTAGATGCCCCAATTGGGGGAGTATTAGAAAATATAGATAACATAGGCTAAGCTATTAGGTTTAGACCCATTATCTTCTATTGACATTTTATCAATAAAAGTGTTGGTATTCGACATAAACTTTATAGATCCTTGATGTATAGGTATAAAACCAGCATTCATAAATACAACTTTTGTGAGGCAGTAAGCCAGTAACCAGAAATTTATGCAATGATGGCGGTAAGGTTTAGAGGGTATCTTCTATGTGAATCATGTGATTCACGTTGATGGTGGTGGAAGAGAGTATGAAATAGATTAGAAATAATTACATATACTATCTATATTACTAAAATAAATGTCGTTTACAAAAAGTGACCTTCTAAGTGTAGTGACTATGGTAGTAACTTAGTCCTAGTAACTTATGTTCAATTTGTACACTTAAGTGACTATGAGACTATACTATAGTAATTATTAGTCATATTTTTGTAAAAAGTTTCATTTCAGTAATATTTTTGAAAAAACATCAATAGATTATGGGGAGGACATGATAGTCTCCAGATCATCTTGAAAATGAAATGCCCTATTGAATAGTCTTTAATTTGGACAGCAACCCAAGAGGTAGCAGTCCATTGACTAGTTGGCTCAAATTTCATGTTTAAAATTAGTTTAATTGACGCAAGAGATAAACATGGGAGACAACCCCATATGTATTGAATAAGGGGTACAAATACTAAAAGCGGGACAAATACCTGGACGAAACATTTTCTTATGAAGCTTAAAACAGCTTTCCAGGCACGAAATTAGCAAAAATTAATTCACATATTAGCAAAAATAAAGTCACATCAAGAGGGATATATTACCTTGAGAAGACCAGTGGCACCAATGGTCACTAGATCTTCAAGAGCTTCCACCTTATCCAAAGGTAGAGAGCTATAAAGCTCATCAACATCACTAAACTCATCAAAGTCATCCTAAAATTTGACAGAAAAAAATCAGGATGCAATGATGCATACATCACAATGAACAACCTCAAACGAAAGTCATGTGTGTCTATATGCCTGCAAAAATGGCATTCTCTTTACCACTTTTTGTTTAATGGGGAACTTGGATTAAACATGGGATTTTTATTCTTACAACTAATACTTTAGAAGAGTATCTTATTTTTTACATTTTACAGTTGCACTTATCAGTATACAAAGTTTGACTCAGATTCTAATCAAGTTCAAACTTAAAAATATAGCTGAAGTTACATACTCAATGGCATACAAGGAATACTGAGAAAAAATAATAGTTCTCAACTAACTTCTCATGTTAAATTCTATGAAGATATTTTCCATTGAATTGTTTAAAAAAAAGTTTCTCGAAAAAATTTGAGGTGTGCTCTCCTCTGAGTTTTTCAGTGATTTGTGTTGTGCTTCAAATGCACCTGAAATAAACAATGCATAACAGCTTATTTATATCATTACTAATATTCTTTGAATAACATATTAACATCCCATCATCATTTACTTCAAAAAAAACCATGCCATCATCATTTACTTCAAAAAATGTGACATCATCATTTACTTAAAAAAAAAGCCATCATCGTTATTATAGGCATAAATAGAATTTTTTTTAAACACAACAATATTAATTGACAAGTGCAACCTGATTACGTTCCACATAGTCATCCAGGAAATCTTTGACATCATTGACTTGCTCTGGACTCAATTCATCATTATCCAGTAACCTTAAAATCAACTCTAACTTCATTATATGCGCCCTGTGCCGAGTAATTGATGTCTCCAAATGAGTCTGCAGAACATTTATCAATTACAAGCGTATAGGTATAGCTCATAATCTCCTCAATGTTAACTTTGTTAAGATATTTCCCTTTACCAATCTCGGGGGCTTTGATTTCCCTTTTTTAACACTAAGTCCCTCCAATTCAGCTTCAAAGATATCGATTTGGTTTTCAAGCTCACTAACCTATGCAAAAGAAAACATTTTAAATTCAAATTACTCATTAAAATCAACATAAACTCATCCCAAGTGACAAACTGACGACAAGTCAAGAACAGAAAGACAAGTGTAAATGTAAAAGATTGATTATAAAGCACTTGGAATCAGAGTACATTTATATGTTGAAAGTATGACAGTAAATAATAATAAAAATCGCAATAAATAACATGAAATGTGCAATCAACTCTCTACCACATTGTTCAACCAATCCCTAGTCTCTGATTTAGCCTTTTCCTTTGGGTCCTGGCAAAGTAGAAAAAAACAGAATGAGCACTAACTTGAAGCTGAGTTTAGCATAATCAAAAGCTTATTGCTAAGAAGTTAACATAATCAAAATCATATTTTCAAAGCAAATACTGGAAATACAAATTCCAAACCTAATAGCATGTTTAGGATAACTTGCACTATAAGTGCTTTTATAAGATGTGTTTTCTCATTTAAGCAGTAAAGGTTATTCTTTAGAAAGCTCCTCTCAATGGCTTTCTTAAAAATAAGCATAAAAAGAGTTTTTATTAATTAAAAGAACTTGCTAAATTCTCTTTTCAAAGGATTCTTTTTCTTCCAATAATGCTAAAATAAAAGGCATTTGTCTTTGAAAATAAGTTATCACATACACCCTTAAGATGTTAAGACTCCAGAGTGCTAAGCACCGTGTCAAGACTAAGAACAGGTTTTCAGAATCCAATTCTAATGCAATCTTAAATTTTAATAGCCCAACTGAAAATTCATGATGTTCAAAATTCAATATTTTAGTAACCACCAGCTTTAAGCATGATCCTAATCTAAACCAACATACCCAAAAGTATCAGTTCAAAAAAACTAGTCTTAACTCAGCTGTTAAAAGCATGGCTCAAATTTTGATTATTAAACATCAAATTCAACTTCAATTTTTTATTCAGCTGAATCAATAAAGGGCTTGCAAACCTAAGTGCGGGCATAATGAGAAAGTTGGGTTGCTGATATTAGTTTTCAGTTATAACTCAATTTGATTTATCTCAATTGTTTGTCACTCAAAAAAGACCTTTTCAATTTTACTTTCAAATGGAAATTTGGAGGGATCTAATAAATTTTTAAGACTTACTCAAACACTTGTTTCCTTTGGCTGATCTGAAATATTATTGGTTCCTGGAAAAATACCCTTGATTGGTATTTTCCATCATCATCATCATCACCCCAGTGCCACAAAGGCTCCCACCTACGGTGGGGTAAGGGGGGGTCGGATGTACGCAGTCTTACCCATGTACTTAAGCACAAAGAGACTGTTTCTGAATGACCTGTAGTGAAAATCGCGTCGAAAGTTGCATGAACTGACTGCTACTTCACTTCACAACAAAGAAGAGCAAACAGTTTAGTGAACCATTTTGCTTTATTCCATCATATTCCCAAGCCAAAAAATAGTGAGCCTTTGGTCCATTGCAAATGATGGAAGGCTTGATTGGTATTTTCCCAGAAGATAAAAACTCCAAACCTTTTTCTATTAGTTGTAGGTAAAATTGATGATGTAGAGAATTTAACTTAATATAACCTGAAGGCTATTATTCAAATTTCAGAAGAGAGAAAGGAGAAGAATGGAAATGGAACCTTCCTTCCTCTTCGTTTTCTACCAAACACTTACAAGAACAGTGAACTTTTAATGAAAAATAGTAAACCTGCACATCTGCACTCACTTCAAATATTAACATAAAAAATCCCCAAGCAAACACACGGAGTTATTAGTTAATTACATTTCTTGCAACTCAAAATACACATTCTACACAATCATGTATGCAAAGCATGCCAATGCTCACCGTCTTTGGTTGTTGGCCCAATCCTTCCTTGGAAAATGCCTTGGTCTTTGTTTCTTTCTCGCATATTTTAAATCTTTCCATTTCACGCTCAATGAGCTTGCGAGCATCCATTAATGCCTGCTCATAAGAAGCACTTACCTATGTCAATGAATATCAAAGAAATTCCCATCAGCACTTGCTATACATACTAAAGTCTAAAGACATCACACAAATGCAAGTATTGGATGATAAATATAGCCAATAGTAACAAAAAGTATGGTTAGGTCATGCTACATTCAAGAAGCTAGCATATGGACACTATCAAAGCAGGGTCATATCATACAAACTGTAGCAAATGATGACTCAAGCATAGCATCTTCAATTACCTAGCTAGCCGATCTGTTGATTAAACACCGAGCAGCACATTAAAGCCACGGCTCAGGACACTGAGCCTAATCTTTAGAAACAAATTATTATTTCCTCCCAATAAATAACTGGTTGAAGACAGTCTTGTACGATTTTCAAGTTATAAATGAAAGTTTATTGAAAAAATATGTGCCTACTGGCTACTGCACACGTAATTTTACAATTGAGGTTGATGCTTGAAGAGTAACATCCATTTGGAACTAGAGCGCACTAACTAGCCTCCTGAGCCAATATGATCAATAAAACCAAGTTACCCGCAAAATACTAGATGATTTTACTTGTGCAGTTGCTGGGTAACTCGGTTGGGGTAAATGTGAACATTTCAATAAATAAATTGAAGGTAGTCTGGAGTGCTACCAAAGTTATGAAAGATTGAGAATTAAGAATTTAGGATACTCCGTATAACTATTTAAGAATGTGTCATTGAGTGATGGAGTCGAGACAAGTGCAATTCGGCACTCAGATTTTGATTTAAATTATTTGAACTTCAAATGCTTTATGAACTGTGGCATTAGTCCTACTCCATAGTTTTTTACTTCATCTAAAAGAATCTATATAAGAGTCTACGACTGGTGTTATTAGAAATCTGTAAAACATTATTTATATTTTACTATTACAATATCAAGTACTCGGAGTAGCTACCACAACCCAGATAAGGCATTAACAGCTTAGTTTTCAAGAACTCGCACAATTTGTTTATATCTTATAAAACTGCAGAGTACTTACTAACCCAGAAGGTGTGACAATTTACACTATCTTATGTTGTATGGGTAAAGGGAAAGCCAGTACAATGAAAGGGCAAAAAGACAGCGGCAAGGAACCTTCTTATCCTTAATTTCGCTGGACTGGATCCATGTCTTAATTTGGTCCCTGTACCTCTGGAGCTTCTTAATCTCCTTCTTCAAATCCGCCTCAAACTTCTCCTTCTGGTTGGCATTGTCAGTGTCGTAGACCTAGCCATAAAATTCAGTGAATAAAACTGAATACAGAATTCAGCTAATCCCCACTTCTCATTAAGATGAGAAATGAATAGCACCTTGTTCCAAATGCTGTCGAAGAGATCGACTCCCTCCTGAACCTTCTTCAACACTCGATCAATTTCTCCCTGAAGCTTCCGACTGGCTCCCATTGCGAGTCTATACAAGTTCTAGCAGCCTTATGATAAGGACTTTATACATAGAGATTTCGGTTCCTTTATCAATCGCTAGCAATTATGCTGAAGTTTCAAACTCTATCTGACATATACGTACTTCTTTTAGTACGGAGAGTGGCATAATGGATATCGCCAGACAGAAATCACAGAATAGAGTTTTTATTTTTAGAAAAATGCTAAAGGTACCTCAATTGGTACCCCCAATTTGTACCACCGCTCTATTTTTGTGGCTCACAAAAGCACCTCATTAAAGTGGGGCAATTCATTTATTGATGTGGGCTTTTGTGAGCCACAAAAATAGGTTGGGGTACAAATTGGGGTACCAATTGGGGTACCTATAACAAGGTTGTTATTTTTATTAGGGGTGGGCGCGGTCCGGAACGGTCCAGGAAATTAGTAAAACCCGTAATGTATCCATGAGGTTTCTAACGGTCCGGTTCTAAGGATGAAATCATTCAGTACCATGTCGTTTCGGAACGGTGCAAAACGGTACGGTACAATGTCAAACACATGCTAAAAAATTGAACAAATCTTGCAATTAGTAAATAACATCACACCAACCAATTCACATTAAGTGTTGATATAAATACAAAAAATTGCATACGTAGTACTAAAATTCACAAATACACAAATAGTGCAACACAACTAAGAAAAAGTATAGGAAAATGATGATACACGAAATGAACATCATCGTTCATGTGAAAATATAAAAAGAATATCATCAAATTGTTCTATATAATAGAAAAACTCAACGTTCTTCTTTGTTCTAGCTAGGTTAAATATCAGTTCTAATTTATTTTATAGTTGAATCGTGAGAGCTAAAATTTAAATCATATTAATTAAGTTATACAGTTTCACAAACATGATACAACAAAAGTCATATACACTACATTAGTAGAAATGAATAGTCATTAATGGTGTTTAAAACTTTAACATTCTTTCAATACGTACCGAAATATAACACAAAATTGTCTTTAAAAAATAACAATATGCACATAAACACACATTTAGCTATTTTAGGTACACATGAATACATATTTGGGTATAAAATTGTTGGTCTATAAAATATATTTATTGGTATGGAAAAAAATATAAAAAATTCAAATGCATTATTTTTGAACGGTCCGGTCCGGTATTTTTTGGTTCTCAAAATCTAGGACCGATCATGTACCCGTTTCAAACGGTACGGTTTCGGTTCGGGATAAAAATCTATAGAACCGTTTAAATACCCGATATTCGGTTCGGTACCATTACAAGCCGGTTCGGTACCGGTTCGGTTCGGGTTTTATGCCCACCCCTAATTTTTATAGAGGAAGGATGTCTTCACTTCTGGATCTCACTTACGTGTGATAATACGGAAAGGGGACTAATCCACTAATCATTCCAATTCTATTCATAATTAAAGCGAAATTGACACTAATAATACGTACATTTACACATTTTACAAAAACAATCCCTACTCATAAATTTTAAAAAAATAATCCCTATTAATTAACTACCCCGTATTTCACAAAAATAATTTGAGTGCTAACGGTGTTCTTTTCGTTATTATTTTAAGTTTTGAATTCGACAGTCTTCCATATTCAATTTTGAACTAGTTTTTTTTTGTGGATAAACTAGACTTGATGGGAAACATACTTAAAAGCATTTATCAAAAACTTCCACCGGAAACCGCCCCAAACGATGGCGTTCGGATGGCGGCTCCTGTCCGAACTACTAGACCCGAGCATTTCTGTAATATACTGATATACATTACAAACACAACATTAGAACATAGGAGCAATCGAGTGTCGAACTCGGCCTATATGGTAGGACCTTTGGCATATTATTCATGTATTAAACAAGGAAGTGATCAATATGGTTTACTGACAATGATAGTTGTGTATCATATAGTCAGGCACAATTATACCGTGGGATCGGTGCATCATGCACATGATGTATCGATCCCAAAACTACGTAGTTTTATCAATTAAAAGGCAAACAAAACTTTATTCCTTCGTAAGCTCAAACCAGGTGCCGCACAATATAAACACCTACTTTCAGAATCTCCGATCAACACAAGCTTGAACAACTATCTTGTGCTCTGTACCTAGTCATCTCAACTCCTGAATTCAATTCGATGACTAAGCAGTGAGCAAAACAATCGGAAGAAGAAAGTAGCCCAGGGTTTGGCTGGATTGTTGGAGTTGTAGAACTCAAAGTCCTACTCCATATGAATCAATGAACTGCTTAATCAATGAAATTACGTATATGCCTGCTAATCGAGTAACTTTTCCAAATATGGATTTTTTGAGCAATTATAGTATTTTGAGCAATAAACACCTAAATATTTATTGGCTGATTTTTAATAAAATTCAGATTAATATAAATTTCTCCATTCAAATTAATCTAACAGGTTTTGATTGATGGAGTTAATTGGTTTTTATATATATAGCGGATCGGAGTTACATCATTTTATACACCATTTACATCTTAATGTACACAAGTTACACTATGAAATAAAACTCTAATTCACATTTCAACATTTCTAGAGTTACATCATAATGTACGCGAGTTACGTGTTAATGCACGCAAGTTACATCTTCATGTACGCGAGTTACACTGCGAAATAAACCTCTGCTATATCATTTTTATAGCCCTAATATTAAAAATAAACCATACTTCGTATTCACTATTTAAAAAATGTAATTGGGCTATTAGGATCAATGTTTCATTGTTTACATTGAAATCAATGTTTTTTTCTTATATTTCGCTTTAGACAACTTACATTCCAACTTGACTCAAGATACATTTCCTATCAACATGAGTTCCATTTTGTTAAACGAGGGTTACACCAGCCTGCTACTGAAACACACACAAAAAAAATCATTGTTCACCCGCGTCACTGTTCATGCGAATTTTACCCCTGAGAGCATGGCGCTCATAGTGGGTCGGTTCCACGGTATAACAACTCTATAGTCAGTAGTCAAAAATTATATTTCAATAGAATTAAATCATTAAGTCTCAATACTAATAAATCAACAAAGGAAAAGGCTAAGAGCTCGTCTTATTAATAAAAACTTGACTCAAATGTAGTCATGGACTCGGGCAGGGTCGGGCCTAGGCCCGGCCGGGCTTTTGAATTTTGGTAGAAGGCCCGGGACCGGCCCGGGTTACCACCGGGTACGGGTCGGGTACGGGTCGGGTCCGGGCCGAGCCGGGTCCATATATATATATTTTCCTTTTCTTATTAACCCCTGACCCCCTACCCCCCACCCCCCAAACCCTCCCAAAACACTCAGCCCAAATCAGGAAAAAGCCCAAAGCAATGAAAAAACAAAAACAAAAAAAGGCCCGAACCGGGCCCGGGCCGGTTCCAAAGAAGGGGGTGAACCGGGACCGCCCCACCCTAACCCCCGAGACTAGGCCTAGGCCCGGAACCAAAACCGGTACACCGGGACGGGACGGGCCCACACAGTAGCGGGCCGAACCGGTTCCCGGGTCGGGCGGTCCGAACCGGGTCCAAGACTGCTCAAATGTGGGAAAAGAAATATATAAGTTGAGGTGCAATAATAGTGAAAGAGCTAAGCATTGCTTGGTTGAGAGAAAAATTGTCAATTTGACCTAAGTTGAGCTGCAATAGTAGTGAAAGAGCTAAGCATTTCTCGGTTGAGAGAAAAATTGTCAATTTGACCTTAATTATAAGTTTATGATTTGATCATTTTATCAACATTTAGTAGGGGCAGATGAATTGGTAGTGTAGATTCAATTCAGAAAATATAATCAAGGACATTTATGGTTAGATCTAATTTCAATATTTAACATCTTAAATCTATAAAGTGAGTTCCATACAATGGCAGACTTGGCATTAAATTTTTGAATGTTCAAAATTACTTTAAGGACTGGGTGTTGTCTGATGCAATAATTATACATATTTTTCGCTTAAAAACTAATAAGTTGAATTAAGAGTAAGAGATACTACATAAACAAAGTAAAATAAATACACACTAAGTATATATATTTATATTCCCATTTTTCTAAATTTTTTTTAATTTAAAGAGATGTGCAATAGTGACTCCATGTTCATCTTTTAAAAGTAACATGTGAAACTGGGATGTGCAACCTAAGAGGGAAGGTGAATTAGGTGCACTCCACTGTCATTTGCATCTTAAAAATTACTCCCTCTGTCCCGTAAAGATGTTCCCGGTTTGACATACACACATATTTAGGAAATAAATTTGACTTTACTGTTTAAACACTGTTTCGCACTGTTTAGACACTGTTTGGCACTGTTTAGACACTGTTTGGCACTGTTTTGCACTGTTTTGCACTGTTTGCACTGTTTGACACTGTTTTGATGTAGGATAACTTTCCATTTAGGGAAAGGGGAACTTCTTTGTGGGACATCCAAAAAAGGAAAGCGGGAACATCTTTGCGGAACGGAGGGAGTATATTTCAATAGAATTAAACCATTAAGTCTCAGTACTAATAAATCAACAAAGGAAAAGGCTAAGAGCTAGTCTTATTAAACTTGATCAATAATAACTTGCACATGGAATAAGTAGGCATGGACACGGTTCGGGCCACCCGCCCCGGGAACCGGCCCGGCCCGCTACTGTGCGGGACCGGCCCGACATAGTGCTTCGGGTCCGAAACCGGTCCTTGACCCAGTTTGAAGGCTTAAGCAAGGGCGGGCTCGGGCTGCAGAAATGGGGACCCAGCCCGGTTCGGGTCAAAATGTTTTTTTTTCCAGTTTTTTTGGGTTTCCCTGGGTTGGGATTGATGTTTGGGGGGGTGAGGGGGTAGTTAGGAAAGAAAAAAAATTACAACCCGGCCCGAGGCCCCGCCCGAACCAGACCCGGTGGCAACCCAGGCCAGTCCTGGGCCTTCTCCCAACCACAAAAGGCCCGACCGGGCCTAGGCCCGGCCCGGCTCCAAATCTAGGAATAATAAAGACTGTGTAATTAGAGTCTAATTTAAAGAGAGAGAAATAACTTTAATCACATACTTATCACTTTAAATAGAAATGGTAATGTTTTTTTAAACGATGGATTATACTCCGTAACTTTTAATTCTTTTAATGAATTTGGGTTTTTTATGAGTCGATCAAGGGATGGACTCGGTTCGGGCCTTGTACCGGCCGGGCCTCGGTTCAAGGTATGGGAGTCCCGGAACCGGCCTGGGTAAACCCGGGTCCGGTTCGGGCCGGGTCACCCGCCCGGTTCACGGGCCGGGCCTTATAATTTTTTTTTTTAAATTATATATTATATTATTATAATAATTCTTATTAAAAACAAAATTTAAGCACATTTATTTGAAATAGGAAGTACATTTGAGAATTGAGAAAAAAATAACAATATGAAATACATTTTCTAATAAATATCAATTGGGATTTCCGCCACCATTTGTTGTTGTTTTGCCTTTGTCACATGACTTCATATGTTTTATTGGCATCCCGACTCCGTGTGAACGCCCCAAGCAACACTCTTTCTTGCACCACTTGCAAGTTGCCCACCACAGCCCGGTCTTCGGGTCCTTCCACTTATCAAAATTGTTTTGCATAACAGAAGAATTACTTTCCATCTTTAAAATGGTAGATGTATAAGTAGAAATGTAGGATAATAAGAGAAGATGAAGATGGAGAAGAGTTGGATAAGAGGTGTAGAAAAATGATAGAAAATAGATGTATTTATAGATTTTTTTGAACCCCACCCCCACACCACCACCACCGGGACCCCCTGCCCCCCACCCTAAGCCCCAACGGCTATATAGCCGTTTGGGAGTAATTTTGTATTTCAAAATGTTTTTAATTTTTTTTTTTTTGAAAATTATACATATTGTAAAATAAGTTAATTAATTTAATGAATTAAGTAAAACTATTTTTACTTAGAAAAGTGATTTGATTTATAATTTACAAATGTTACAAAATAGGTGTATAAGTATTTATACAAATTACATATTGAAGTTGTAATAGTTGAAAAGAATTTGGAGAAGATGAAGAATGAAGATGATTGAATATAAGAGATTGAGAGAATAGAGAATTAGAGAGTAGGAAGAGTTGTAGAAGAAGAGGTGTAAAAAATGTATAGAAAATGGGAGTATAAATAGGTTTTTTTGTATACCCCACCCCCACCCCACCCCCCTAACCCCCAGACCCCCCCCCCCCTCCTATGCTCCCAACGGCTATAGAGCCGTTTGGGAGCTCTCCCAACGGCTAGAGAGCCTTTAACCATTTTTAAAAAAAAAAAAAAAAATATGACCGTTGAGGCCCGGCCGGGCCGGTTCACTAAATATCAGGCCCGGACCGCTATCCCACCGGGCCGGGTGGCCCGAACCGGGCACTAACCGGTTCACCGGGCCGGTCCGGGCCCACACAGTAGCGGGCCGGTCCGGTTCCGGGCCGGTTGGCCCGGCCCGAGTCCATCCCTAAGTCGATCCTTAATTTGTTGTTCCGCATGAGGACCAAACAAGTCAGGTTTTGAACCAATTCTAAACTCCAACAACTAAACAGTAAGTCAAACACTTCAAGCTTAAGGCCAATTTCCTCATTATTCCATCCAAATGGTCCGTTTGGATTGAGTTAATAATACTCCGTATAAAACTAGTAAATTTAATTAAACCTAGTAAAAGTGGGTGAAAGTGTGAAACTGAGTAAATTCAAGTGCATATAGCTACCTAAAGTTATTAATTTAATGAATTTCAAGTTAAACCATGTTAAAATATAAAATTAACCTAGATGAATAAATATGAATAAATATAAAGAAAATTTGACCTTCAAAATCTCATATCAGTAATCAAGTTCTCCAAAACTGGATAACTGGGAGTACAGTGGAGGCTTAGAACTAACAAAAATCAAGCGAATAAAAAAAAAGTGACCATAAGTGAACAAATGATGCACTAATAAAAAACAAATTCCACGGTGACTAAAACTAATATCCTCTAAATCAAAGGATGAAGCACGTGAACTTCAATGTATTCAATCATGCAATTCTAGGTCTAAACTTGCAAAAGCTCAATATCAGTTATTTTTCTCACAATATCAATATACACACCACTTTCCTATATCAACCGAACCATGGAATACAGTAAAATTATAAATGTTCAGCATTCCTTTTAGCACAACTTTGACGATCATAGTGAAATGTTTGGTGTATAACAATAAACAAGAAATGAGACAAGTTTGTTGTGCAACTGAAAGACAAAAATGGATTGCATTGAGACAGGCACAGGCTTCTCATATGTAACACCAGAATCATTGCCAGTCCATCATATCATAATCATAGAGTAACTTGGTAGTACATTATAGGATCCCAGATGTGAAAAATAATGGTATATATAACAAACAAATTTTATTAAGGTTTGCTCCAAAGTGCGTTGAAGGGCAAGAAGAGAGCTCCACAGGACACTATCAGATATTCACAATTCATGTGCCATGCCAAGTAGAGGAAAAAACGTCCCCATTCCAGCTCAATGCCATGATATTGGTTCCAATTGGCATGTCTGTGTGGAGTAAAGTTAAACTTCAAAAGAAAATGACATCCCGGAATGGTACATAAATTATACGTAGTATCATGCATGGTGAGCCAACATTGGACTTTAATCATTGGCTAAGGTGCTTTTATCAATAGAGCCAACATTGAGCCAACATTGGACATAAATTATACATAGTATCAATAGAGTGCTTTTATCATATGTGTTTTACACTTTTACCTAAGGTGCTTTTATTATAAGTGTTTTCCAATTAATCACTTAAGATGTTTTATGACAAGTGCTTTCTCAATTAACCACCGAGTGGATTTTTTGAAAAAGTTACTCCATTCTGAATTTATCTTGGAAAAATGGACAAGAATAATCTCAACTATAAGTGATCTGCTTGAAATAATCTATAAAGTATCAATTTTTACTTATAATAACCAGTAAATGACTTATAATATTTACGAGTCAATCGAGCATTTTGAGAATTTTTTCAATAGTTGAATTAGTTTGAGATAATTGATACTTTGGATTATTTCAAGTCGATCACTAATAGTCGGGATTATTTTTGTCCATTTTTTCATTTATCTTCTTGTTTTTATTACTTGACACATTTATTCAAAAGTGTGGTTTAAACCGAAAGTGTTCATTATGTTTACTTGACACGATTGTTTTGGGATGTTGAAAAATGAAAAACATGAAATTATTTTGGGATGAAGGGGACTGTTTACACAAGCATTAAGAAAGATTTTTATAGACCCCACATTTCCTTTTCAAAAGGAAACCTAACGATTATTTTGGGATGTTAACAATTGAAAAATATGAAAATTATTTTGGGATGAGGGAGAACTATTTTACACAAGCATTAAAAGTAATTTTTTTGTTGAGAGAACTTCTTCACTTTTCGTTCCCAACACTTATTTGTATTTTTCCTTCTAGAAGACACTTATTTGTAGAAATATGACCAAACGCTCCTAATCCCATGAGAGTGTTGTGAGAAAAATCTACGTTCAAGATCATCCCACAACATCTCAGAATTGCCAAGTTCAAATCCAACCGTCAATAGTCGCTTGATCACAAGTACTGATCGTAGGATCAGTCTGTGGGTCAATGCTCAACGTGGATCGCCCACAGGCCACAGCACTCCAATAATGTGCTACCAAGAAGGAGTTCGAAGGTGTCAACCGAATATGCTTACCACTGCTGGTTCTTACGAAACTCTCTAAGGACTGGATAAATATTCTCAAATGCCATGTATGTCTCCTCGCGCACCTGATAAAGGGAACATTTTTGAGAACTAGAAACTGTTTGTAAAGAAAGGGTGTGCTTGGATGAAGTTATTTGAAGGGTTTTGGAAGGAAGAATTTTGGAAGGGCAAGTCTATATCTTCATATATGTTTGAGATTTTACAAAATGTGAAGCAAAAAAAATACTAGGTGATCGTAGTAGATCGTACTCATCATCATCATTACCCCAGTGCCGCAAAGTCTCCCACACCTTCGATGGGGTAAGGGGGATCGGATGTACGCAAGTCTTACCCCTATGCTTTAAAGCACAGAGAGACTGTTTCCGGATAACCCATAGTGAAAATTGCATAGACCGACTGTTGCTTCATAACAAAGAAGCGCAAATAGTTTAGTAAGCCATTTTGCTTTATTCCATCATATTCCCTAGCCAAAAAATAGCGAGTCTTGGGCTCCATTGCAAATGATGGAAATAGGTGATCGTACTAGGTGAAAAAATTTGAAACGAAGAAATTCAATCACCCTTTTGTTCATTATTAGTAAAAATTCTTTTTATGCAGATGTAGACTAAGCCTTCCCATCAAATTGGTCATAAAGAAATACGGAGTTAGTGTTTTACCTTCGCTCCAGTGAGGACGATCTTTCCAGACACAAAGATAAGAAGCACGATCTTTGGTTGCTTCATACGATATATTAATCCAGGAAAGAGTTCTGGTTCATACTGCATCCAAAGAGAACAGATGAGTCACAACTGCAATATATTACACTTGGTGGTAAAATGACAAAAAGAAACTGGGAAATATACTTACACTTGAAAATGCACCATGAGAATAAGCCAAACCCTCAAGTTTAATTTAATGGGAAATTTCACATCGCATGATCCAACTATGTTCTGAATCTTAAAATCCTGCAATCCAATAAAGTTGAAAAAATTAAGTTATGAACCATTTGAGATGCAGTTCACACCAGGGAGATGCTGAGAAGATGAGAGACATGCCTTAAATTTGGCAGGGAAGCCAAGCTTCTGGATGATACGTGCATACTGGATCACATTAGGCAAATTAATCACATATTGTTAAACATTTTCCCACTTTGTCATTCCTAATGCAGAAGTTCCTTTCTTTTTTAAAGAATGTTACAGGATATATTGCATATCATTTCGAAAGTTGTGGGCAATCTGAAACGAAAATATTCTGGCTGAGCAATTCTTTTGAAGCCTATCTATTGAACTAAAACCCATAAAGTCATAATTGACCATGTGATCGACAAACCTTCCTTGCTGCAAGCCTTGACTGTTCTTCACTCTTTGCTCTAGTGCAAACCTGATTTCAGATCATATTGTCAGCAACAAGGTTAGGATATTTTAAATTTTGAGTTTACTTCACCTTGGTCACCCAATTTTATTGGCATTTACACTTTTGATTGTCACTGTGAATTTGTATATTTCTATCAATAACTCAAAAAGATATTCAATTCAGTCAAATGCCTAAAATGCCCACCTAGTGAAAATTTGACCAACTTTTCACCTACTTTATATGCTGACACTTGGACTAAAATTGGAAGTCTTTTTTAACACCAAAATGTGAGAAAAACAAGAGTGGCTAAAAAAGAAAATATCAATAGAATAGAGTGATAGAAGGTGGGATTAACTCATTTCGATTGTTACTCCAGTTGGAAGTACGAAACATCTATCTGCAGAAAAAAGGGATGCAAATATTTTTTACCATTTTTCCAGATGCAAAAATCAAAGCTGTAGTCTTTGGCTCCCTTATCCTCATAATAACAGCAGCAAAACGCTAAAAGAAATACACAGTTAAAAAAGAAACTACCAGTCAGTAAAGATAAAATACACAACCTTTGTGTAATCTACCTAACAACAACAAAATACACACAGACAAAAGATATACTCCCTCAGCCCCACAAATTTTTATAAAAGCTTCCCTTATTTAGCTGTCCCATACAATTCCCTTTAAAGTATCAAAGTAGTGGTTAAAAGTCACTCCTCTCTCCTCTGAATGGAACTTACTCTACAATACTTATTAATTTTAAAAACACCTATCCATTGAGTACCTTTGGATTATATTCTGCATTGCGAGCTTGCAATGCAATAGCTTTAAGATCCAAATTGCAATCCAAATTGACAGTTGAGACAATATTCCAGAAACAGGAAGCAATCCACTGATACATCCACATGCATTACATATTATTCCGACTATCTTCATTCTCCCGCACTGAATATATCTCACATTCTCATGTAAACAGAAATGGAGATATTCTAGCCGAAAATAATTAGTCCACTCCTACCAAAACAAATCACTATTAAAAACATTTTCAAGTTTTTTGTTAATCCCCAATACAAACAAATTGTATTTACTATTTAGTTAAACTAACAAAGTATATGTGAGATTAACTTCTTGTAATGGTCGTAACTTTATTGGTCATAACTAATACTCCCTCCGTCCCACTTAAAGGTTCCCATGCGGTTTACGATGTTTGACTGACCATAAAGTTAACCGATCCCTGCCATTAATAGGGATTATTTTTAGAAAATAAAATTTACATATTCAGAAACTACATCAAAGTTTTATAATTCCTGATCAAGAAAAATTAAATTTGATAAAAGTTGGATATATAAAGTAAAAGATTAAGAACAATGCACGTTGACCGGAGAATAGTGGACGAGAACCTTCAAATGGGACGGAGAGAGTAAAAAGTATGTCTTGGTTAAATAGATCTCTTTTTTACTTGACATGGCAAATAACTAATAATCCCTCAATGTACTAGGTTTCAAAACATTATCTCCAACTCATATAAGCTAATTCATCCATTCACAACTATCATTTCTCAGCTACGCTCTCCTTTGAGAGAATCTTTTCTCTAAAACAGCTTCTACTGACCGGGCTCCCTCTTAATTAATGGAGAAAGACAAGTGTGCCCATCACGATTAGAATACCAATTGAAAGTCCAAACAATTGTGTCTCCTCATAACATTTTTAAAATAATTTTTTTATACCACCTTCAGTTTGTAAACTTTTTTACTTAAACACCAACTGCAATTTTTTGTTTTGTGTTTGCGCAAATTATGAAAGTTATTCCTCCAGAGTTAGCACACCCATACATTCTGTAATTGAACAGCATTATAGCACATTACCGCAAGGACACATGCTCAATTATACTATTCTGTTAAAGGCTTACCATACAAGAACAGGGTTTAACTAGTGGACACAGTTAGGTAGCACAAATGGCCTAATAGCTTTCCCTCATCATCCAAATATATCAACAACAGACATGAAAAGCTGCGTAAACTCTCTTCTTAATGATATCCTACTTTCATCTCCGCGCAGGAGGAACATGGACCAAGCCAAAGTGCCAAACCAAACTCCTAGGCGTTTTAGTCCACATGTAACCATTTACAGTGACTTAATGTATTCTTTTAGATTGGATGCTATGGTGGGATGCTTGTGCTGGAGAACCCCAGTACAAGTCCTTAAACATTCATTCATCCGAAATCCTTAAACAGTCATTCAAAGTTTCAACCAGAAGTCCAGGATGAACGATCCAAGTCACATAGAAGAGAGAGTAATGTGTTGGTGTAACTGTGTCACTGTGTGAGTTCACATTTATACAATCACCTTCAATGGGCCATTTATCCCATCACTAAGTTGCTACTGTGCTTTCTCCCTAGTCAAAATCAGAAACAATTAACAACTTACAATTTGTGGAAGTCCCAAATTTCAACCATTTAATAGAATAAAAATCCAAGTCACACTAGGAACACTAGGTTATACAAGCCACATCTATTTAAGAATCTCGATTATAATACTGACAAATCTATTCATCCATGTTCTAGGGTTCCATTTCATGCACCAGAAGAGTGTTCATTCCTTATCACATGTATGAGTGCATCTTACTTACATTCATGCCTTGGGAACAAAGAAACCAATGTTTCTGAAAACCCATGTCGGTCGGAAAGAAGAGACTTACTGGAGGATGGGAACAATTCCAGACGGGTGTCTGGAGAGATCAACAGGCTGGCTCCCTTCCATTCCCGGCTGATGATCTGTCACTCTTCCTTCGCTAACATATTCTTTAAATTGTCTATTTTTTAAAACAAATCAGTTCAATTTTCTTCCAGAAACAAAATTCGGGTAATGTTATTCAGTTCAGCGCAGTTTAGGGTTCCGGGTCAAACCACCAAATCAAAATTCAAGACGTGGAAGAAACACAAGTTCAGATCAATTTTATATTTATGATGCAGGTGATTGGCTAATTCACACTCGGTATAACACATGAATCAAAACAAACTAAAGATCATAATAGACCCTGTAGCTTATTTATACGAGTGGAAAATCAGGGGATCCAAATCTTGAGCGCCAAGAATTTGAAAAACGAGGCTATTATATGCTCAGATATATATACACACGTACATATGGATTAGATGTTGGAGAGATTTGTGGGCAGGCTGAGAAGTGCGACGATCAAAAGGGAGATAGGGGCTCAGACTGGTGAATCTACCCCGGGGAGGTATTTATTTTGGGGGTGATTCTATTTACACTCCCCTAATTACTAAATACAGCCAACACAATTATAAAGTTCCTGATATACCCTTATTTTCTAATCTTCACAAGTTCACAACTTATCTACATTCTATTCACGTCTTCTTCATCGCGGCTTAATTTCTTTCCTCTGCCACGAATCACACCAGCGAAGAGCGATCTATGTATTTGAATTGGAAGCCATGGTTTTGCTGGTTCCAGGGGAGGGCTTGACCGATCGGAGAGGAGTGGCGAGACTTACCCAGAAGTTTCCTTCATCCGAACAGAGAGAGACAAGAGGTCCGTCCGATATTCGCTGGTGACTGAAGTTCTAAATCCAAGAGAGGCTGCCGGTGCTGACCTCGAGGACTCGCGCCGTCTGGGTGCACCGTCGCTGACATACATCGCTGGCTCAAGAGGTAGCATTTTGCTTTCGATTTTGGAGCAAAATAATTTTCACAAATATTATTTTGCTTTCAATTTTGGTGCTTTAGTCTGTCTATCGGCTTCATTTGTAACAGAGAGGTAATACAGAAGATGAAGATTTACAGAGCACGCGGTGGTGAGTGACTGAGTGTTGATGAGGCCCATATCCTCTATTGCTCAGTACGAAAGGTCGGTGTTGATTCTGGGTTGTTTTATTGAGGGTTGAATTGCTCAATAAAGTTTGTCATTCCTATCTAATACAGCTATGAGTGATGAAAGAGCACACAAAGTTAAGAAGGATGAAGCTGACAGTGGAGTAAATAAATGAAGATGGGGAAGATTATGTTAAACAAGAAGAAGATGACCAAGACATAAGTGAGGATTTTTTTAACAGAGCCGTTATGTCAATGACGGATGACTCAGCAGACCAACTCTAAGGATAACTTAGGTATAAAAATAATTTGGAGGTTGTGGATAGCAATTTGGGGGCTGTGAATAAAATTACCCTTATTTTGGATGTTTTTATATACGAAATGGGCTTCCGCGTCTATTTGAACGTAGGCCCGCTCTTTTCAAACGGGTAACTTTTAGAGCCCGTTTGACAACACTCTTTTTCTGCTTATCAGCCAATTTGTTCACAAAACACGTAATTTTTCTTTTTGCGCGCTGAATTGTGTAATAAGCTGAAAAAGTAAGGTTGGAGTTACTTTTCTGACTGTATTGGTTGAAGTTACGGTAGATGATCATTTTAGCTATTTTTACATATAATTTTTTCTTTATTTTATTAATAAAATATATTTTAAAATAATTTTTTATTAAATCAGCAGAATCAGCCAATGCAGCCACTTCAGCCAGAACTTCATAAATTTTAGTAGAATCAATCAAAACAGCCGATTTTCGTGCTACCAAACGGACTCTTAGTGATCTGGCTCTAGTGACTTTAAAGTCGCAAATCTGTTAGTGACTTGGTAAAAGTCTAATCATTACTAGATGTATTGCAATTATAGCTTGGGGTAGAATAAACAATACTCTCTTCTAAAATAGACGTTTGAGTGGTTTCCCAAGAGGAGCAGAGACTTCTTTCCATCCACTTGCTCATCCGCGTTCTTCTTCACCATCAGGACCGTTTTTTGAGAGGTTCAACCTGTCATCTTTAAAATGATGCACCGATTTTGAGGCTCCAATTTTTTTGATAGTATTATTATTATATTAATAATAACAGTAATTGAAACCAAACAGGGTCTCAATTTTGCATTTGAAACCAGGACTTCTAAATTCATTAGACAGCCATGTTCACCGCTTTCACTATGGTATTTTAGTTACCAAAAACAAATCCAACCTTAGAAACTTGTTTATTGTAGTCATTACTCATTAGTGTCTACTTACACTGACATTGCACAGATACGAACTCTAACATACTTTTAGAGCTCAATTGGTAATACCCAAAATCCCAAATCGACTGTATTGGTTGATTGTAGTGAAATTTATGGCATTCTGACGGAACTGGTTGGATTGGTTAATTATGCTGATTTATGAAAAAAAATAAATTTAATTATATTTTATTAATAAAGTAAAGAGAAAAATTATATGAAAAACAACCAAAATTACCATTTATAGTAACTTCATCCAGAACCGAAGTGTTTATAGCCTGGAGTATTCCTTTCTATCTTCGTTGAAATGTAACACTACTATTATTTACTCTTAAGTTTTGGATTTATTGCTTTCTATCTTCATTGAGTAAGGTCTAAATAATATTGCATTTCCAGACCTTACTCAATACTCTAAGAGCATGTTTGGCACATATAAGTCTCTGACTTCTAGCTTTTGCACTGTTTAAAAAGTCTCTAAAAGTTTCTAGATTTTTATTTGGCATGACAATTTTTAAGAGATTTTCGAAAATTTAAAGATCTTTTTTGAGATGCTACATGGAGTAGCATCTGGGAAAAGCCCGTGACTTTTAGTATTAATTAGTGTTGACAGCTTGTTCACCAAACCGAACTAAATCAAACAGTCAACTTTTTACCAAACAGCTAACACCTTTTCTTTTTAAGATTTTTTCAGTCACTAAAAACTAACAGTTACTAAAAAACTTACAAAAGTATCTTTTCAGCCAGTTGTGCCAAACACCTAACAAAGGTATTTTCATTGTCTTTTATCTTCATTGAATGCAATATTATCTACACTTAAGATTGTTTTGAGACTACATGACTAGGATCTGGAAATGAAACATCGAGAATAGAAAATGAGATTATATTATTTGGAGCTTCTTTAGTAATCCATAATTTTAGCTTGTTAGCTTTATCAATCATTTCTTTGTTAAAACAAGAAGCTTTTGATTA